TACAGTTGCTTATGCTGAACTGCACATAACTGAATGGTCATTAAGATTAATTCCAGAGTGGTGATTATCAAGAAATGCAAGGAAGATGATAAATAAGATTAAATATGCTGAAAAGCTACTGCAAGCATGTTTTTTTGTGAGCTTGCTGGTTTCCTATGTGGTTCTATGGGGGAAAAGCTTTTAACTCAATTGAGTGGAAGTAGACAATTTTAAAAAGTTTGGACCTGTGATAAAGTTTTGTAAATGGGTAAAAAAACAACCAACCAAACAAACAAAATGCAAAGCCCTTTCTGAATTTTTCCTTTCCCAATAGGCCTTGCAGCTTTTCAGCCAAATATCCCTTCAGATTTAGTAAGTATAACATAAAAGTCCTTACAGCCATGGGAAGTTAGTGTCCATGGAAACTTTTCTTGCCTGGCTTAACAGGGCAGAGCAAAAATGCAGAGCTGTAACAACTTGCTGGGGATGGACCAGAATTCCTTGTAAGGACATAATAATTAATAATGCTATAACAGTCACACCCATGGTGACCTCTTTTCATTGTGAGAAACTGCTATTTATCCCCCCCCCCTTTGTCTTCCGTTCCTTAATGAGTTAGTGACCCGTAAGAGGACACCCCCTTTTATTCCATGACTCAGGAGCCTTTGGTAGAGGACTTTGTCAAAAACCTTTTGGGAGTCCAAGTAAACATTATTACTTGCCATGTTTGTAAACATAGTTAATCCAGCTTGATTTATTGCTAATAAGAAGTATTTGAAAGTGCCACATTTGATCACCACTCTTTCTTTTTGTGGTGGAGGCTTAGAAATGGATTTTGGTACAAGTGCCTGAGCCGGCTTAAGAAAAACAGTTTTAAAATATTGCGTTAATAATATAAATTGTAATTGTTGTGACTATTGTTAGTTTCTGTTGCATTTTCAAATTTTCAGTTATTACTTTGCCATATTATTTTACATTTTCTTATTATTTTAATGAGAAAAACTAAATTATTAATTAGCCCAAGAGATTATGAATTCTTGTCCACCCCAAAACAGAGTAAGCTAATGTTTTTTTCTTCACCATCAGTGGATGGAATAGATTTAAATAGTAGTCCTATAAGAAGATTTTTTTTCTTGAGATTCCTCCTGAAGATGTGCCAACCTCAGTAGCAACAAATATACAGGATAGTTACAATGCCATAAATATATTTGCTGAGAAGCATATTCTAGGAAAAAGCAAAAGGCAGTAGACGTCTTCACTGATTGTAGCCTGTTTTATCAGCAATTACATCAAGTAAGAGATAAACTTGAAAGTTAACATATATCCCTGAAACATTTGGAAGAACATTCCCAGAGTACAATACACCCTTTTAGGGAATCTAAAGTAACTGGGAGAGTAGAAGTCACAGCAGTAGAAATCTAAACTGATATTCCATTAATTTAAGAACTTAGGATTTACAGCTTTTAAAACTGGCTTTGAACATTCCCCCTATAACAGGAATATCCTATATCAGGGATATAAAAAGTTAGCAGCTGAACATTTACTTTAGAGATAAAGTAGACTTGTTGAAATAAGGAACATACCAGGTTGGGCACTTGGAAAGAGATGTTATTTAACCTTTAAAACAATTAATTCATACACTTTTAAAAAGATATAATATGGTCACAACACAAATGTTCTGTGATACTATTAAAAAAAACCTCTGTTAAACAGTACAAAGCTTATTTCTCAGAATGCATGTCTCGGAACATGGGAATGAAAGCAAGCAGGAGAGCCCCACCGGAATCTGTATCAGGCCAAAGCTTTTCATAAATGATGGCCTAAGCAGTGAAGTGGCAAATTTACTGCAGATCCCAAATATTTAGGGTGGTTAAAACCAAGAGGGATTGTGAGGGCTCCAAAGAGATTGAGATCCAAGATTTGCGATGGGACATCAAAATGGCAAATGCAGTGCAATGTAAGCAGATCTAATATAATGCAAGTTGAGGGGGGGAAAGCAACTTCAAGTCTAGGCTGATGGGATCAGAGCTAGCAGTGAGTAAGCGAGACAGAAATCTCGGGGTGGTGCTGGGCAGCTTGTTGAATCTGTTGACCTGGTGCACCGCCGCTGTAAAAAAAGGCTAGGAAAGGATTTGGAGTGCCAGGATCATGCTCCCCTGAAAAGAACCTTGGTGCAACCACACTCTGGCCGCTGCACCCGAAAAAGAGCATTACTGAGCTGGAAAAGTAGCAGTGCAGAATGATCAAGGGCTGAAGCCTCTCTTCTGTGAAGAACAACTGGGATTATTTAGCTCAGAAAAAAGTGAGTTGGGGAGAAATGATACAGGTGTTTAAAATTATGCATGAGACAGCAAAAATTGAGACTTTTTCTCTCTTCTCCATACAACTAGAAACTGGGGTCACCCCATAAAGGTGGAGGATTCAGGGCAGAGAAAAGAAAGTCCTTCTTCCCACAGTGAATAGTTAAACTATGGCAATCACTGCCCCAGGAGGTAGTGATGGTCACCATTTTGGGGGGCCTTCAGAAGGGATTGGACGAATGCATGAGGGAGGAGGCTGTCAGCCACTGGCCTTGTGTTGTGCTCCCTCTGCCATCAGTGGTGGGATTCCTGAGGATCTTGGGCAGGCCGAGCTCCTTTTCCTGTCCTGCTGGAGGGATCCTGTGGCAGCTGGTTTGCGACTGTGTGAACAGAGTGCTGGACCAGATGGACCTTGGTCTGATCCAGAGTGGCTATTCGCATATCCTTCTCATCATGAAAAAAATGGCCAACCGAAACTGTGACTAGGCTAGAAAGGAAAAGGTCAGAAAGTCTGCCTAAATTTATTCAAATTCCATGAAACACATAACCATATATTTGATCAATCTAATATACAATAAATGCAATATTTATCTCAGTGGGAATCTTCTTTTCCTTCTTTTGTTTGCTTCAATAAAAGACCATTATAGCCAACACAAGATTACACTAAATAACACAGTAATATGCCAAATGCATTATTTCATCGGACAGTGCCCAATGCCGGCACTTGGTTCATGCAGCTGATGTTGGGCTAGCGTAAGCACCCTCACACACAATGCCAGTGGAAAATCTCCACCCAAAAATGGATTCTTTGCATTTTACATCTGTCAGTTATGCGTTAGTGGTGGCAATATCCCTTCAAATACAGGCAAATCCCCTTTATAGTTCAGGAGGACGTACTCCCAGGAAGTGTGTATAGGATTGCAGCTCTTATCACTGATGGATAGGTTTTAAAAATAAAGACTGAAATAATAGAGTAGATACTATGATACTATTCTGTGAAACAGATGCTAAGGTTTGTAGACCTTCTTTGGTTCATTCATTGTATGGTTTGAAAAATATGCAATAAACAAGGATATCAGAATTATAGTCCTCCTGGTACAGAAATCTAGCAACATACATAGGAAGGAACCTACATAAAACTGTTGCTCAGCCACTGCAGTTCCTGGTTGAGGCTCTGGGCGCCGCTGTTTACCAGTAAGAAAGCAGGTTGGAATGGAAAGACCAGATCAATTTCCGGAGCTTTATGCATGGTGAGCAAGGCAGTGACAGCACAGGACAATCAAAGAAACGAGCAAGAAAAATATTCCTCCATCAAGGAAGAAAAGTAGCGAGATAGTTCAAAGGAACTCTTTAAAAAGGTAATTCCAGAGAGCTTGCAATGGCAGGCACTCCAAGCCTCCAGCAATGCAGTGGCTCCTTCTGGCTTTCTTTGATTGCAGTTTGGCAGTTAAATTATGGTCAAGTCCACTACTCAATTCCCGAGGAACTGCAGAAAGGCTCTTATGTGGGGAACATTGCAGAGGACCTGGGGCTGGGATCCAGCAAGTTCTCAGACAGCAGAGTGCGCATCATTTCTGAAGGTATGCTTCAATATTTTACCTTGAATTTTAAGAATGGCCATTTGTATGTCTCTGAAAGAATAGACAGAGATGAAATGTGCGGGTGGGAAAAGAAGTGTGTGTTGAATCTGGAGCTCCTCGATGAGGACAGAGTGAAGCTGTTCACGATTGAAATTGAAATCACAGATATAAATGATCATGCTCCGACTTTCACACCGGCATACCTAGAGCTAAAGATAAGCGAAACAGCAGCCACTGGGACTCATTTCCCGTTGCAAGAAGCTCAGGATTCTGACAGTGGAGATTTTTCCCTGCTGAACTATCATCTGAGTAGCAGCAAGCATTTCTCCTTGAAGCTACAGAGGACATCTGATCGGGACAAATACCCAGAACTTGTGCTAGAGCAATCCTTAGACAGGGAGGAAGAAGCTGTCCACTTTCTGCTCCTCACAGCCACCGATGGAGGACAGCCGGCAAAATCCGGTACTCTGCAGATCCGCATAAACATTCTGGATGTAAATGACAATGCGCCAGTTTTCAACCAGCCTCTGTATAAAGTGAGCATTTTGGAAAGCATTCCCATTGGTTCTGTACTGCTTACTGTGAATGCTACAGATGCGGATGAAGAAATGAATTCTGAGGTGACTTACTCATTCCTGAAAATAAAAGAGAAAGCATCGCAACACTTCCAAATAAATTCTAAAAGTGGGGAAATATCAACCAAACGAAACCTGGACTATGAGGAAAATGCATTATATGAGATAGAAGTTCAAGCAAAAGACAGTGGAGGTCTTTCCGACAGGGCTAAAGTATTGATACAGCTTATTGATGTTAATGACAATGCTCCTAAGATAACTGTCACCACAATTTTTAACTCTATCCGTGAAGGAAGCTCACCAGGAACCGTAGTTGCTCTACTGAACATACAAGACAAAGATATAGGTGAGAATGGGGAGGTGATATGTTCAGTTCCTGCAAATCTTCCATTCCATTTAAAGAAATCATTTGATAACTATTACCATTTGATGACCGACAGAACCCTCGACAGGGAAGAAATATCAAAATATGATATAACCATTACTGCTACAGACAAAGGGAATCCTCCATTATCAGCCACTGCAATTATCTTTTTAGAAATTTCTGATGTAAATGATAATGCCCCAGTGTTTGGCAAAACGCAGTATACTTCTTATATTTCTGAAAATAATCCCCGAGGTGAGTCTGTTTGCTACATGCAAGCAAATGATCCCGACTTTATGGAAAATGCCACAGTCACTTTTTCGATCATTGAAGGGAGTATCAGCAATTTTGCTCTTTCCTCTTACCTCTCCATTAACTCTGAGACTGGAGTTATTTATGCACTGCAGTCCTTTGATTACGAAAGGTTCAAGGAGATCAGCTTCCAGGTGAAGGCCCAGGACGGGGGCTCCCCACCACTCAGCTCCAACGTCTCCGTGACCCTCTTCATCCTGGACCAGAACGACAATGCCCCGGAGATCCTGTACCCCTCCCCTCCCACCGATGGCTCCACCGGCCTCGAACTGGCCCCCCGTTCCTCCGAGCCGGGCTACCTGGTAATGAAGGTGGTGGCTGTGGATGCGGATTCTGGCCAGAATGCCTGGCTCTCATACCAGCTGGCCAAGGCCACAGAGCCGGGTCTCTTTGCCATGGGCCTGCACACTGGAGAGGTCCAAACAGTCCGCCACTTCCTGGAGAAGGATGCCCTGAGGCAGATCCTGGTGGTCTTGGTGAAGGACAACGGGCAGCCTCCCCTCTCTGCCTCCATCACAGTCACCATCGTACTGGCCGACAGCATCCCTGAAGTTCTCTCAGATATAAGCAACATAGCTGCTCCTGTGGATTCCCAGTCCGGCCTCACCTTCTACCTGGCAATTGCAGTGACTTTTGTCTCCTGCTTGTTCTTCGCCTTCCTCCTCATGCTACTGGCACTCAGGCTTCGCAGCTGGAGAAATTCTCAGCTGTGTGACAATGGAAGTGTGCATTTTAATGGTACTCCAGTTTCACAGTTTGTGGGCATTGATGGCGTTCGAGCGTTCCTTCAGTCTTATTGTCAGGAGGTGTCATTGACTTCAGGTTCCCGGAAAAGCCAAGTTTTGTTTCCAGTTGGAAGCTGTACCAATACTCTGACGCCACAGCAGGGGCCTGATAATCTGGGCCCCTTACTCATAGCCAGTGAGCCTGGCACCACCATGGAGGGGGCGACTGGCTTCCAGGTGAGCAGTGGCATTTCAATGCTTCTGTTTTGTTCTCCCATCAGTGAAGTCTGTGTTTCATTTGTGTTGATTTGATAGGCTTCATTTTCATGAATTTTCATTAAATGAGGTTCTTTAATCACAAAGACTGGATGAGGCATGGGTATTCTTAACATTAATATGTAAAGAGGTAAAATGTTTTGAAGTCATTAACTGCCTTTTCCTCTCTGCTGAAGCCTAGGATTGCACTGATTCAGGAAAATACTGTAGTTTTTAAGTCACGTGTGAAAGATTCTGCCAAGATTGGCTGTTGACTATGTAGCAAACGCTAATTGCATATCGCTTGGTAGCCATATTTTCCTACCAACGGAAGTATCAAGGCCATAATGAGGTGAGTTTACAGGTCTAGTGTTGATCCTGCATTATGGAACAAACCGCTGGGAGTACAGGATGTATGTGTGGTGACACAGGTCAGTTAACACTTTTGTCTATACCATCTCTAGACATAGAAACATAGGAGAAGACTGACAGGTGAACCAGAGCTAGCCATGGGAAGGGGTATGAGGCCCCGTGTAAGAGGCATCCTGGCCAGGCCATGTAACTGCACCATTGTGTTTGCTGAAGAACTATAAAAGGTGGACACGATGTTGAGCGGCAGAAGGCAACCAGGTGGTGGATGTTTCTTGTTTCTTCCACCAGCAGAGCATCTCCTTAGAGAGTCAGGACACAACAATGCTGGGAGAGGGAAGGTCAAATCATTTTGGACATTCTGATCTTGAGGGAGAATAGGAAGCATGACAGATTTGCCTTACTTGCTCCTGTCCAGTTGAATCTGAGCAGCCAAAGTAGTCAAGCTCTGACCTATGATCAATGGATGAATACAGGGAAAAAGGAATACGCACAGACAGAGGGCTCCAGCCACATTTGCATCTTGACAGGCCTCCTCCTGCAGCAGATGAGATGTCATCCAGTTTTCTTCAGTAGAAACATAATTAAGAGTTGAGAATGGGGCTGATGCAGTTTGGGGCTGAGCCTCTGGGTGTCACTGTTCACCAATAAGGAACAGAACGGAAATCTCCAGCCCATCTCCTCCTGCTGTTCTGCCATACACAAGCCCCAAAGAACTGAAGAAGAAGCTGACGGATGGATGCAGCTGTGCTCAGAAAAACAGTTGGCCACACTCTCTTTTAGGGCAGGGAAAATCATCCTTTATCCTCCTGCGGGAACATGGAAGAAATGCAGAGGCAAAGGAGATACAAGCAGGGAATCCTGCAGTGCCTGCTCCTAGTGCTGACCTGGAGGAGAGTTTCTGGACAGATCCACTATTCCATCCCTGAGGAGGTGCAGAAGGGCTCCTTTGTGGGCAATCTTGTGAAGGACCTGGGCATGGATGGGAAGCCCCCTTTGGGCCATGGACTGCGCATTGTTTCCAATGTAGGTATGATTCAGTATTTTTCTTTGAATGCCCACAGGGGGCATTTGCTAACTGCTGAGAGAATTGACAGAGAAGAAATCTGTGGGAAGGCAGAGAAATGCACTGTAAAGCTCCAGGTCCTGCTTGAAAGCAAATTAAAACTATATGAAGTTGAGGTGGAAATCACCGACGTCAACGATAATGCTCCTCAATTTTCTCTGGGGGAGCAGGAGCTGGAGATAAGCGAGGGGTCTTTCCCAGGATTTCAGGTCCCTCTCCCTGAAGCTCAGGATGCAGATTTGGGGATCAATTCTGTTCAGAGCTACCAACTCACAGGCAGTGGTCATTTTTCCCTGGACATGAAGATAGGACAAAATGGTATCAGAAATCCTGAGCTGGTGTTGGAGAAGTCTCTGGACAGAGAGGAACAGTCAGTTTATGAGCTCATCCTCACAGCTACTGATGGAGGTGATCCTGTTCGATCCGGCACCATACAAATCAAAGTCAAAGTTTTGGATGCAAATGACAATGCACCGATTTTTACTCAGTCTTCCTACGAAGTGAACATCTGGGAGAATATGCCAATAGGATCCAGTATACTGCAAGTAAGTGCCACTGATCTAGATGAGGGAATCAATGGAGAGGTGAAATATTTCCTTAAAAAAACAACTCTGTCTCATTTTCCAATGTTTGCCATGAATTCCACTACGGGTGAAATTACTCTCACAGGCAACCTTGATTATGAGGAATCCTCTTCGTATGAATTAGAGGTGCAGGCCAAAGATGGGGGAGGTCTGAGTGACAGATCGAAAGTCATTATCTTCATTGGAGATTTGAATGACAATGCACCCGTGCTAGCAGTTACCTTTGCCACCAAGGCCATCCTCGAAAGCTCACCACCTGGAACAGTAATAGCCATATTAAATGTCCGAGACCAAGACGCAGGTGTCAATGGGGAAATTGCATGTTCCATCCCCAACAATATCCCTTTCCAGCTGAAGAAGTCAATGGAGAACTTCTACAGTTTAGTGACATGCAATTCTCTTGACAGGGAACAGGCGACAGAGTTCAAGGTACCTGTCACAGTCACTGACCATGGAATTCCCCCTCTTTCAACAGCCACAGTAATTGAGCTAAATATTTTAGATGTAAATGACAACCCACCCCTCTTTGAAGAATCACAATATACTTTCTATACTGCTGAGAATAACCAAAGAGGTTGCCAGATCTTTTCCTTAAAAGCAAATGATCCAGACTGGGAGGAGAATGCCAGAATAACGTATTCCATCATCCAAGACAAGGCAAGCAGCTCCCTCCTCTCCTCCTACCTCTCCATTAACTCTGAGACAGGCATTGTTTATGCGCTGCACTCCTTCGATTATGAAGAGGTTCGGGAGATCAGCTTCCGGGTGAAGGCCCAGGACGGGGGCTCCCCACCGCTCAGCTCCAACGTCTCCGTGACCCTCTTCATCCTGGACCAGAACGA